CCTGGTTCAAGAGTTTGGGAGGTGTTATCTGTCGGGTCTCCTTCATGTTTTGTGTGCATGAGGCCCTGCTGTAAGTGCGAAATTGCAGCGTACAGAGAAACGTTTCACAGCTTTCACCTGGTCTCAGAATAAACACCACGTTTTAGTTTTGTCACTAATGTCTGATGAAAGTGCCCTCTATGTTTTTTTCTAGCCTGTCGTTTAGTTTCTGTTGTAGTGTTTCATTATAACACGATTTTTGTTTTCATGCTTCTCCGCTGGCTTTTAAAATTATTTCACCTGAGGTTCCAGGAAAAGAAAACGCCAGAAAGGTTTCTTGAAGCCACCTGGGAACAACGTGCAGGGGAACATAAAAGAGCGTCGCGCAGCCATCTGAGTCCCACAGGCTAAGTGTGATACAGCTGAGACGTGGCAACGGTGTACAAGGCCCAGGTCAGAGTGAGTCGTTTCACCATCTACTTTTCAACAGATTGGCTCTCTCTGCAGAGTCATGCAAACCCAGGGCAGGCACTACAGGGCAGTGCCACACACAGGATGAAGGATTGAAACCTTTTTCATCTTAAACTGAGATTGCAAAGGGAGAGGGAAGGCTTGTTCACTACATGGTGAGTAGTTGGTCTGGAGCACTTGCTCATTATTGAACCTGATTCTGTGGAACTTTCAGGAAATATCACAACCCCTGCTGTTCAGTGACTGCTCTCAGTCCAGAGAAGGAGATTCTCCACCGGTGTTCAAAACAAGCCATTCCTAAAACCTAGGCCTCTGACGTCTCCTGAAGCCTGGGGCTGGCCTGGCTTTCTCCCCGTCTTCCTGCTCTCAGTGGCTGCCCCCTCTCTGCCATCCAGGCAGGGAAGAGGAGGCATCCCTGAGTCGTGGCACTTGTGAAAAAAGGAAAGGGGAGGAAACTCTGTGGCTCAGGATCTGCTCCTGTGGCTGGAAGGTTGCCGGTTCAAATCCCACAGCCGGCAGAGGAATCCCACTCTGTTGGGCCCCTGAGCAAGGCCCTTAACTCCAGCTGCTCCAGGGGTGCTGTACAATGGCTGACCCTGCACTCTGACCCCAAGCTTCTCTCCCTGTCTGTGTGTCTCATGGAGAACAAGCTGGGGTCTGCAAGAAATTGTATAGAGCTAATAAAGTGATGTTATGTTATGTGTGCTACATAATTACAATACTTTTAAGACTAAGCAGTGGCATTATTATTCCAAATCTGTCATCTTGTCACTGATACAGTATTTGCCAGCATGCCCCAGTTTCCAGGTCATTCACCCGATCACATCAGCCTGATGGGGATTTCAGGCTTATTTATTCCACAGGTCACAAACGAGAGGAGGCTCATCTTGCCCCCTGGGCAATTGGGCCATTAATTAGGGCTAATTGATCCGATCCAGAATCCAGTCGTTTTGTGACAGAAGCAACAGCATCAGTTTAAACAGCTAGCTTGGTAGGTTGTTCCAGACTCCCACCACCCTCTGTGTAAAGAAATGTTCTCAGTTTTACAACCACTTAGACATAGTTTCCACCCATGTTCTCAGCTTTGTGTCTGATTGTTCTTTCTGATCCTCTGATTCAGTTCTAATATTTTTTCCATAACCTTATTTGTAACAGAAGTCTGACTTACTGGTCTGTTATTATTGTTCTTGCTTCAAGTTTATTGCTCTTCTGACGGATCAACATCAGCAATTTCACACTCCTTGGCTATGACAACCCCAGTCTCGAGCGACTGTGGGCAGAGTTGTGTCAAGGGCTTCTGGGTAACATCTCTGTGTCTTTGAACATTAAGAATATTGAATTTAGAAGCACTTTTAGAAGCAATCTGCGATCTAGTATTGCTAGTCGTTTATGTGCGCAGATGATAGCTGTGCTCCCCATCTCCCCTCGGCCATCATGCCGTTTATTTCCTGCAGGTTATAAATGTAAGTTTGGCACGTTTTGTTTGTCTGGTCATCAAAAGGTTAATGATCTCAACAGCGTTCGAGGCCGGGGTGGGTTGTTCCAGACACCCACAACTCTCTGAGTAAAGAAGCGCCTGTTATTTCCCAGTGCTGAGTGTGCTTCCTGTTGTTTTCCTCCTGCAGTCTTCTTTCACTGCGCCAGTAGCCTGGCAGGGGAGGGGTTGACTTTCTCAGTACTCTGCCTGGATGTTAAAGATTTGTACCGAGAGTCGCAATCTCTGCTTTGCCGGGGCAAAAGAGATTCAGTTCCTTTAGCCCGTCCGTGAATCGTCCTGCGTGTCCCGGGGAGTAACAGCTTCTTTCTAAACTGGATGTTAAGAAGGACGATGTTATAAAGCAGGTTCAGTCTGGACGGGTGCGCTTGGCTGGGGAGGTTAAATTTGATTCTGAAAGATCTTTTGTCCCTCCCGTTTGGTCTTATTTATTTATTTCGAAGAAGGGATGCGACAGGAAGCGGTCATGATTTATTCAGCAGCAGGGCAGGCAGCGGGGGCCGATAAGACAGGGGAAGTGCGATAGAGATCGGCAACACGTCGATACTGTGCCGGCAACGCGAGCCCGGGGCTGACACCCACACCGGCGCGCGGCTGACGAGCGGCATCGATCGCCAGCCTGAAACCCGACCGGCTTTTATCAGTTTGTTTCCAAGCAGGTCTGCGCTCGGGGTGTCGGGCGGGCCGGAAGGGGCACCAGGAGACACGGTCGCCTCCGACCTGACCCAGCAGCTCTGCTGTCCCACGCGAGACAGCCCGTCTCCCGCCGGGGATATAGCGTGTCTCCAACACCAGTGACACCGTGTCTGTGTGGAAGAATGGATGGACTTCACAGAGCGCCTGCGTGAGGGGTTATACATCGCGCCTCTCGACCACAAAGTATTGGTTTTGCAGAAATTGTTCCGTTTTTCAATATTTTTAATGGGAAGGATACTGATTCTTAGTGGGCTTCCTTGCAAACCAGGTGAAAACGTTCTCTAAATTTCTGTTAGTTTTCATGCGTGATGCAATTTATATTGCTTCTGAAGCGGTTATTTAAAGAGCTTTTTATCACACTGGTGCCGTCTGCACGCAATTACAGAACGAGAGGTTCCTTCGCGTTCACGTGCTTGCTGCATACAGCTGTGCTGCCCTCTGCCGACAAAGAGCCGCATGTTTCTCTTGACCCTGGTCTACGTTGCAAGTCCTTCTGGAATACGTAAAAGCTACCGATGAACGAAAATTCACGTCTTCCAGATATGCGAATATAATATATCTGGCTTGTACCTTGATTATATTCACGTGTGAAAAGCAGTGACTCCTCAGTAACTGCTTACAAACTGCTGTCAGAAAGATCTGGCTACTTTCACTAAATAAAGGGTTAATATAATGATGCAACGTCTGCTGTACTGTTGTTTCCGTGAAGCGCCACTGTCCAATTACGATACCAGTGAGATGAAAAACAACAATATTGCTGTTATTAAGTGATGATGAGAGTCAGAAACCTCAGAGTTACTCATGACTGTGTTGTCATATGCAGTTGACATTTGGAGCACTCCAAGGATGACACTGCTAGATTAAGACCCTACTCTGCTTCTATGATTCTGAAACAGTGACACGGGCCATATTTAATACTTACTGGAATACTTTATAAGGCACCGAGTAGGCTTCTGTACGTCTAGAACACTGTGAAGTGTGTGATGAATCCATACTCTACGTCAGCACTTAACTCCCCTCCTCAGTATACTGCACTGGCTTCCAGTGAAGTTTAGAACAGATGTTGAGGTACCTCTGCTCAAGAATAGGAACAGAAGACAT